CTGTGGGAAGGCAGCATGCACACACCTCAGAATATGTATTTCCTTCTGTATGTGCAAAAGTCTAATTTCTTCATTAGATAACTGTGTTTTTTTTTGTTTATTTTATTTTATTTTCAGTTAATATCAATCAGGTAGAACAAAAAATAATCAGAAATTGCAAAAAGAACTAAGTGACAAAGGAACATAAATCATACTTCTCATGAACAAGCTCTCTTTTTGTGGGCTACTATCAATTTCATTTATGAAACTTAAAATATTTTATTTCTGTGGGTTCTACTAAAACAAATGACATCTAGAGCAAACAGAAAGTCCCTTAAAGACTCAGAAAATATATTTTCTACAAGCCTGAGAACCAGAACATTAAGCTGATCTTTAGATAAATAAGTCCTTCTAAGAATAAGTTGTTTGAACAATATAGTGCCAAAACTGGAAGGTATTTGCTATCATGCTGATATGGATGGGCATTCCCCCACTCTCCAATCAATCTCAGTGGCTTATTCACCCTGTCCCCAGCTCAGCAGCCATGAATGTGCAGTTGTACTGAGCATTGTGTGCAACTGATGTGACTACTTAAAACAAAGATCAATGCGAAAATCCAGAAATTGTGCAGCAGCCAGGCATTGCATCCAGCAAAGGTAGCAAGAAGAGAAAAGTAACGCCAGTTATCTAAATAAATGAAGAAGTTTATGGGTAACAGAGACAGGATGAAACTCAGTTTCATTGAGAACAGAGAAAAAAGTGCTTCCCTGGCAATGTGTCAAAGGTATCTGTGCTCCTCTGTGATCATCCATCTCCAGCAGGGCTGATCTCTACCTTCACCCAGCCCCTTCCTTAATCCCTAACTCAGATCCCGCGGTTACAGGAAGGATTTAAAGCCACTGTGACTGTCATGCTTCCTGGGGGAAGCAGCGGACAGGAAGAAGCATCCCTTCATTCCAGCTCTTCTTGTCTGCCAAAAGGCTACATCTCCAGCTACCGCCTTTTAGGAATGCCTCTTCCATCTTTGAGAGCTGGAAACTTAGATGCATTTGCTCAGAAACAGGGAACTCTGCCAGCGGACTTGAAACCTGCAGATTCTGATTGCATTAATTTGTTCCAAAGCAGGTTTTCCTCTTGAGCCTGGAGTAGAAGGCAATTAATTAAGACCCATTTTCCCCCCTATTGTATTAAAACAAATTAAATGGCAGTAGTAGGACAAGGCTTTCACTCTCATCTGTATGGGAAGCTGAACCTGTTACCTTGCTCAGCAGAGCTTAGGTCATCTCTAAAAGTTCCCTAAGTGTTAGCACACAAGCCCAAACAGTCCCATTGCCACTGCCCAGGCACAGAATCCCAGCTGCAAACCAATGAGAAGAAACATGCTTTCAGCTCAATAACTTCCATTACAGTTAATGAACACCATGCTGGTAATTGACTGAAAACAACATCATATACAGAAAATCCCCTCCCAAACCAGAAAGTTAAATAGTCAAAAGCCAACAGAGCTCTCCCCAGCCCACTATCCTCCTTCCTGATGAGGGATGGAAGAGAGGAAGGCACAAGAGCAGCTCTGCAGAGAAGGACCTGGGGGTCTTGATAGATGAAAAGTTTAACATGAGCCAGAAATGAGCCCATGTGTCTCGGAAAGCAAATGGTATCCTGGGCTCCATCAGCAGAGGGGTGGCCAGCAGAGACAGGGAGGTGACTGACCCCCTCTACTCTGCTCTTGTGAGGCCCCATCTGCAGTGCTGTGTCCAGGTCTGGAGCCCCCAGCACAAGAAAGACAGAAAGCTATTAGAGAGGATCCAGGGGAGAGCCACAGAGATGATCAGGGGACTGGAGCATCTTCCAGTATGAAGACAGGCTGAGAGAGCTGGGCTTGTTCAGCCTGGAGAAAAGAAGGTTGCGGGGTGACCTCATGGCAGCCTTTCAGTACATAAATGTGTCAGGGGGGTTGGAGATTCATGATCCTTGAGGTCCCTTCCAACCCTGGTCATTCTGTGATTCTGTGATTCTGTGTAAAGCTACGTTGGCCCAGTGAGAAGCAGTAACAGCTAAACAGAGCTAAACAGAGGAATGCTGAGTAATTTCTGAGAAGCTGGAGATCAACTATTCAGTCAATTAAGCACGAGCACAAATGCACATCAGATTTTATCTACTCTTTATAGAGGATTAGAAGAGAGAAAAGGATTTGAACATAATCCATGACTTCCACCACCATTTTATTCTCTATTTTTTCATCATTTCTGCTATATTCTGTATTTTTTAAGCTAGGAATTAAAACAAATGTTTTCCAACTTCCCATCATCTTACCTGCTCAGGTCCCTAATCTTGCCTAGGGTGAAGACTAAGGTGTTACTAAGGTGATACTTTAACCGAAGCATTTTATGTGTTACCTGGAAAAAAGGCTTTGTTCTCACAATAGCAAGTTAGGTTGCTTTAACTGGAAACTGAAGGAAATTCTCTGTGAATGTACATTGCTTGCAGACAAAATATCTGAAATGAAGGAACCCCATCCAGAATCAGCCCATCAGCCCCAACAGAGCCTTTTTTTGACTGCGCTGCAGATATCAGTTCTGCTCCTCTGTTTCCACCATGACTTTAAAGCCATATAGAAAAGTGAAAATAACAACAACAAGAAAAGAATCTCCTTCTAATTGAAAACATAGTATGAGCTTAATGGTCTTTGAAGTGTGTGTGTGAGTTTTGTGGGGGAAGGGGGAGAGATGGATCGCTGTAACCAACAACACCCCAAAGGACTATAAATCAAACAGCATACAGCTGTTGGTACCAAATATAACTTCTTTCGCACTACATCAAAAAGCTTTAATTAACAACTAATTTATTCAAGTGAAAAAAAAAAATTCCCTTGCACCAAATAATTGTATTATAACTTGGGGACTAGACTGTGTATTTTCCCCCTCTCTAAAGCATGACAGGAGAGGAAATTGAGCCTTTAGAGAACAGCTAAGTAGAAAAATGGATCAAAGATTTGGAGGGCTTGGTGATTGGCTTTTCAAGTCAGCAGAGACCAAATCAGCCCATTTAATGAAAAAAAGCCACACAGCAAAGTCTCTTTGCTCTAGGATCTACTTTTAATAAAAATGTGGATAAAGATAAATGGCAGCAGCTTGAGCCAGGTGTGGCATGGACAGGTGTTGCACATCCTCGCTATGTAGGGATGTCAAACCTGCCCCACACTTTGCTTTTGCCAGTCGTATCCGAGTCCTGCAAAGCAGGCTGCTGAGCTTTGAGCAACACAGTGCTCTCTGCAGAGTGGCCAAATTTCTGCAGAGCAGCCAGTTTCCAGCTACAAACATGCTTCCTCAGGGTCTACCCACCCTTGAATCCAAAAAGTGAAAGGCAAGGCTGCTGTCCCATTGCACTTCTTCTCTCCTTACTGGTCTTATAAAAATCATACTCGTGCTCCAGGTTGGAGCACTGCCCACAGCCTTGTGGCAAAACCTGGGTCACATACTCACCAGCCAGAATTGGAGGGCTGATCTTTTTTTTTTTTTTTTTTTTTTTTGGTTTAAATCATCTCTCCAGAACATTGTGCTAGCAATGACTAACTGATCTCTGGTGGGGTAAGGTAAGTGCTATTATCCTGCTCTAATGGCTAATGAAACCAAAGCCAAGTAAGTAGTATACTGGTTGTCTCGTCTTCAGGGCCCCATCATGCATGCTTTACTGTTCCTCTGAGTGCAGTGAAGTTCGCCATTAAAGCTGCCACTGATTACAGTGTACAATCTTCGGGGCAGGGACTGTGATTTTCTTTTCATTTGCTTAATGAAAAGCACGCTGCCTTTTAATTCCTCTGGTTACCTAGGTGTTGGGTGGGTGCCCCGTGCTTGTGCCACGTGCTGCACACAAAACAGCTGCAGCCAGTGCTGAAGACCAGGAGCTGTGGCTTCAGTGCTAAGCTGAAGCCTCATTAAGACTACACATACTACACATTGAAAAGGTTTCAAAGAATACTTCACAGAATCACAGAATGGCCAGGATTGGAAGGGACCTCAAGGATCATGAATCTCCAACCTCCCCACCACATGCAGGGCTACCAACTTCCACATTCAATACTAGATCAGGCCCAAGGCCCTATCCAATCTGGCCTTGAACACTTCCAGGGACACCCCACAGCCTTCTCTTCTCCAGGCTCAACAAACCCAGCTCCCTCAGCCTTCCCTCAGTCTTTGTAGGGGAGGTGCTTCAGTCCCCTGATCATCTCTGTGGCTCCTCTGGACCCTCTCCAACAGCTTCCTGTCTTTCTTGTACTGGGGACTCCAGACTTGGACACAGCACTGCAGATGGGGTCTCAGAGGAGCAGAGTAGAGGGGGACAATCACCTCCCTGTCCCTGCTGGAATTTACTTCAGGTTTGATGCTATGAACATCCAACCAATGGCGTAACACATAAACATTGTCCAACTTAGAGGATGCAGCAAACTGGTAAGCTGATTATTTGAAGTATAACATTAAATAGTTGGGTACAGAATTCTGTCCACTCATATCTGGCATCACACCATAAGTATGTTTTGAAAGGCAGGCAAGATTTATTTTGACTGATGCTGTGATAGCTTTATCCTGCTAGACTTCAAAACTAATAACAATGTTCAATGAGATCACTATAATTTATGAAGAGCACTCCAAAAAGATAAGAAAGTGCTTTAGAAGTGATTAGCTGAAATCCTTTCACTGTATTTGAAGCATACAGGTATACGCTAAAATGCTTTTGCTGCAGTGACTTGAAAGGTGACTTTCACAATTGATGTTATTCAAAATTTTAAATCATGAGCTAAAGCTTTTGCACATGTGAAACTGAAAAATATCTGTTTTAGTGATGCAGGCAGATGTTGTTTAAAGTATTCACTTGTTCAGTTTAATTTGGTGCCCCATAGCCCTGAGCATCATAACCAAGTGCAAAACAACTGCAAACCTGAGTGCCCTGGTCCTTATCTCTCTGCAATCAATAATTGTGTCATTGAAGACTTAAACATGTTAGATACATTTCTCACTCACCAGGATCTGTTCTCAACCATTTCTGGATCAACACTGGATGCTCAAAAGAAAAGAAGACTGGATAAAGCATGTCTGCCGGGGGTGAACTGATGGCAACTTAGTGGTTTGACACTCACCCGAGTACAGGTCCTGACTCTTCCAGTGAGTACAAAGATGAGAAACACTTCATTCTTTCAATCCTTATTTATAAAATAGAAATACTCATCTTTATGTGAAATTCAATGGGCTGTGATGCTCAGAATCCTTTGAGCATTACAGATTTAAAAAAAAAAATAATAATAATAATTACAAGAGAAATCTTCATACTTGCTTCCATCAATGATCAATTTAAGCCTAGGACATAGAGTCAAAGAACTGTATGTTGAATTTAGATGTATTTTATTGTTGACCATATATTACCTACCTTCTTAGAAATCTAGTTGCTGAATATAAATTTGCTCATGGAATGTCTCCTTTAAAATTAAGCTAAAAATACAACACAGAACAGTAACACCCAAGCTAAAAGAAAACTTGCTGGCATATGGAAGTCTTTTTGTAATATTTTTATTGTGCAGACTAAATGCTAAATTAATGCTATCCCCTACTCGGAGAATCCACTTCCTTTCTAGACAGCTGAACCAAGAGCAAAATAGATGAATTCCAGCAAAAAAAAAAAAAAAAAAAAAAAAAAAAAGAAGTAGAACTTCTGTACATTTCTGAGGGCTGCATTGAGTTCAAATGTTTAAGGAGGATACGTGCCACTCTTACCCGGAAGTTGGCTGGGTTACAAGCAAGACATTATCCTCCTGTACAGACTCAAAGAAAAAGGCCACAAGGACATCTCCAAAAAATAACCTCCTTCACAGGCAGGAGTTGAAACATGGGGGAGCCAGGGGAAGTTTCCCAAGTCAAGAAAATTGACAACTTATTGCAATTTAGAATAATAGAGTTGTAGAATCCTCAGAGTTGGAAGCAACATTTAAAGGTCATCTAGTCCAACTCCCCTGCACAGGGACATCACAGCTTGATTCTATTGATTCTATTGTTAGAATCATAGAATCATAGAATCATAGAATCATAGAATCATAGAATGGTCTTGTTTGAAAAGGACCACAGTGATCATCTACTTGCAACCCCCCGCTATGTGCAGGGTCAACCACCAGACCAGGCTGCTCAGAGCCACATCCAGCCTGGTCTTGAATGCTTCCAGGGTTGGGGCATCCACCACATCTCTGGACAACCTGTTCCAGTGCCTCACCACACTCACTGTAAAAGTCTTTTTCCATATGTCCAATCTAAATCTACCTTATTTGAGCTTGAAAACCTTTCTCCTTGTTCTATCATCACAGACCCTGTTTAAGACTCTGCCCCTTGCATTCTTGCAACTCCCCTTTAGATACTGACCGGCTGCTATCTAGTCACCTCACAGACTTCTCTTCTCCAGCCTCAGCTCTAGGGTTTAATCACGTTTTTAAAAGAAGAAAAAATGCCTCATAAAGCAGAGGGATCTTTCCACCTGTGTGTGCTTTCTCATAATCACAGGACAGTTTCACTGCTGCAGAGCTTGATGCCCATGGAGATTGCCCTGAAGAAGATGCCCAGGAGGATGCCCAGGAAATGGATTAGAGAGTGCTTCAAGGCAGAGAGGCTCTAAAATGGCATCATCCTTCATTTCTCAAGCACACTTTTACATTTCATGCTATCCTCCATTTCCTGTTTGCTCCCACTCCTTACCTTTCTTACTTTCTTACCACCAATAAAAACACAATAGTAATGTAAATGCAGCTCTGCGTTTAAAATCTGAGCCAAGAAGGCAATGTGTCACCCATATTTATGAGCTCTAAATGGCTTTTATCAAAGTGAGGTTGCACTAAATCAACCCCAAGCTGTCATAAATACAAATGACTCGACATAGTCTGCAACAAGCCTTCAGGGGAAAATTATATGATCTGCTGTTGCAGTTATGGTATATCACAGAGCGAGCTCATATATTTCCACTGGCAAGGTAACCTGATCCTTCAGAGGACACTAATAGGTGAAAGGGGGACAAGAGAAACAGTGAATCAAGTGTGTGACTATGTATGTGCATGCACCTCAGAGCCAGCCCAGGTTCCTCACTTGAATGAAGGAGGAGGTCCCCCTGTCTAAGACCAGGATGTTTCCCCCAGCTGTCCAAATACAGCAAAGAATCATCACCTAGATAAAGGAGAAATAATCTGGGGGTGCACCAGGGTACTTCTCATTTTAAAAAAAGGGTAATGTGAAGGCATGAAAATTATCTGAAGATATGAACCAGAAACCTCCGGACTCCAAAGACTGTGCTACTTCCAAGCAAATGAAAGGAGACACTCCACCATCTCAGCTGGTGAAACACAGGATGATAGCAAAGTGTTCAGGACAGTCCATCATTAACAGTTTCCATTTGGTCTTTGCAGAGAGCATTGCATGATCTGACATGACAATCCATGGCCTTGTCCTTCCTGCGATCACATATGTTGTTGCACTGGCTCACATACAAAGTAAGCCAAGTTCACTGAGCATTATTCCACGTTTTCTATATATATATATGTATCTGAGATGAAGACAGTGCCTCTGTCTGCTTGGCAAACCATTGCAATGGTAAGTCAATTTGGTTGTGCTATCTCCAACATGATAGAAGCAACATGCCAATTTCAGCAATGCAGATAGGATGCAGGATTTTATAATGTTACACTTCTTGGAGAATGAAGTCTCTTAAATTATGTATTTTAATTAAAAGTTGAACTTAGAAAGCTTGAGCTTTCTAAAATCCTTGATTTTCAAAAGCCATCAGCCTAGTGGGAAGCAAGTGGACAACTCTGCCTTTTTCCCTTGCTGAGCTTCTCACAATCATACTGCTCAGAAAGCCTGCTCACTTTGGGGCTGAAAAGAGTGCAGAGAAGGTGAGCATTTGTGCAGTTTAGCAAAAGGACACCAATGAGGATGATAGGAGTAATGGAGTCAGAAATGTGCTGAACTCATGCCATGCTGCATCACAATGCTTCCCGCAGATGGATCATCTCACACAAGCGTCACAGGAAAGACAGACTAGTCTGAAGCTGGAGGACAAGGGTTATCAGCTGCGTGCTGCCTGCTGAGAAGCCTGAAGTCAAACAGGAAAAGTCCAAGGAGTCTGTGAGCTAAACACATTGCCTGAAACAACTCACTGTGTTTCAGAAAGAGCTTCACCATCTTCCACAGCTGGTCTCTTGGCACAAGCTATCTCTGCTCAGCTGCAAGAGTACAGAGGAAAAAAGACACAGCAAGCTCTTGCAAAACAGTGAGGTGGTGGCAGGCTGACCTGTGCTGATGGGTCAAGCGCAAGGCTCACCATCTGAGAAACAGCACCTGGAAGCCTTCCAACCGTCTGTCCAATGTGATTAAAAACAAAATATGAAATGCTTCAAAAGGGGAAGAAATAGGATAGCAGGTCTGGGTTGCATAATATCATGCATTTGTGTAACCAGTCTAAACAGAGCATGCGAGTCAACCAGATGTTTTTCATTTCAGAGCAAAGCACTGCCGATTGAGCAAATCAGAAACCAACAAGCACCAAACACAATGATGGCTTTGCCAGCACTGTTGTAATTGAAACTCTACAGAGGGCGCTAACAACTCCAGTCTCGGGGGAAGCAGGTAAAGATCCTGGCAGGTCAAAAAAGCCAAACCATTCTTTAGTCTCAACACCTAAGTTAAAAATCAGTAGTAGTTAGTAAACACGGAGTCAGGGCTCAGTTAGTAAGTCAGTCATCATTGGGAAATGAATGAGGAGGGATATGTATATGATTTGTTTCCTTCTGGGAAAGGGACATAAATAAATAAGTTTTTATTTAGAAAGAGCTGGATGTTGACTTTGTGAAACAAAGCCAACCCTCATGAATATGTGGAAAGAAAATTGATCACACAGCCTCATTTATAATTACAGCACCATTCTGGTTTGGAAAGACTCATCTCTGTTCAAGGGATATTATCTTCCACCTCAGACAGAGGAGGCACAGTTGGTCAATGCTCTGAAGGGATGACCAACTCTGCTATGCTAGGAGCCACTTTTATTCCCACTTGGGCATTGTGTAGAGCTATACATGAATTAATAAACCTCATATAGATGCAAGTTGGGACTATAAGTCTTTCCACACACACAGCAATGTACTTGGTGGATTGACTCACTGACCACCCGGAACTGTTTGGCACCATATAAACAATACACTGTGACACATAATATAGCCTAGGGAAACAAACTTGTCTTCTTTGTCTCAAATTATGTAGATAAAGATTAGTCACTATGCAGAAGCTGCACTGCTTTTGTTACATGGGCAGAATTATACAAGGAGAAAGAGGATTCTCAAATGCAATCATGTAAAAGTGGGAAAAAGCATCCTAATTCACAGAACTGTGTACAATCTAGACATTATAAGACTTACTGTTTTTATGTTATTTTGATAAAAGCGTGGATTGTTACCCTACATATTACAGCAGAATGGTGCAAGACACACACAACAGGGTACTTCCCAGATTTCAACTTGAATAGATCCAATATCAAGCTAGCAAGTCTTTTCTCACATCCATTCAAATCATCATCATCAACAACAACAAAAAAACAAATTTGAAAATCTTGGTTATTGGGAGTGAAGCAGCAGGAGAAACCAGTCTGAGTTACCTTTTAAACAGTCCAGTATGTATAATACTAGGAAGGGATGCTCAGTTAATAACCTTAGAATCATAGAAACACTCAAGTTGGAGAACTTAAAGGTCATTGAGTCCAACCATGACCTAACCATACTACCGTAACTCTAAGAACCCTCCATTAAACCGTGCTCCTGAGCACCACATCCAAACAGTTTTTAAACATGTCCAGAGACGGTGACACAACCATCCCCCTGGGGAGCCTATTCCAGTGCTTAACAACCCTTTCCAAAAAGGAGCGTTTCCTGATCTCAAACTTAAACTTATCCTGGCACAACTTGAGGCCATTTTCCCTCATCCTGTTACCTGTCACCAGTGAGAAGAGACAAATCCCGCTCTCACTGTAAGCTCCTTTCAGGTATTTAAAGAGAGCAATAAGGTCTCCCCTCAGCCTTCTTTTCCCCACATTAAACAGCCCTAGTCCCTTCAGGGGACTAGTCT